ATGTGACAAAGAGCTCCACATGCTTCCAGGGGCGTCGTAGGTAAGTTCCCTGAGGATTCTGTGTGCAGAGTGAGGGGAAGTGAGGGAAATGGACGCCAGGGATATCACTATACTATCCCTTATTTCGTAAAAAGAGTCACTATATTCGTGAAAGCCTCGCCGACGGTCAGCATACTTTCTGTCGCGCAACACTATGCAAGTGTCTTTTTTTTTTCTTTTCTTCCTTTATTTTAAATGGGGGAAATGTGAAGAGCAGGTGAGGGGAGAAATTCATAAGAGAAAGGGGTAGGGGATAAGGCAAGGGAGAGGGAGGGAGAGGGAGAGGGAGAGAAGAAGGGGAAGTGAGAGGAGGGGGGGGAAAGGGAGAGGGAGAGAAGAAGGGGAAGTGAGAGGAGGGGGGGGAAAGGGAGAGGGAGAGAAGAAGGGGAAGTGAGAGGAGGGGGGGGAAAGGGAGAGGGAGAGAAGAAGGGGAAGTGAGAGGAGGGGGGGAAAGGGAGAGGGAGAGAAGAAGGGGAAGTGAGAGGAGGGGGGGGAAAGGGAGAGGGAGAGAAGAAGGGGAAGTGAGAGGAGGGGGGGAAGGGAGAGGGAGAGAAGAAGGGGAAGTGAGAGGAGGGGGGGGAAGGGAGAGGGAGAGAAGAAGGGGAAGTGAGAGGAGGGGGGGGGAGAGGGAGAGGGAGAGAAGAAGGGGAAGTGAGAGGAGGGGGGAAAGGGAGTGGAGGGAAAGATGAGGGGAAGTGAGAGGAGGGGAATAGAGGAGTGGAGGGAGAGGGGAGGAGGAGTGAGGGGAAGACGAGTAGAGGAGAGGAGAGGAGAGGAGTGAGGGGAGTGGAGAGAGAGGGAATTGAAGTTAAGGGAGTGGAGAGAAAGGGGATAAGGGAGAGGAGGAAAAGAGGATAACAGGATGGAAGAGGGGAGAGAGAGTGAGGGGAAAGTAGTAGTAGACTGAAAAAGCGAGTGAGGAGGCGGCGGCAGGGAGAGAAGTGATATATGGAAAGGGAGAGGGAAGAGAAATTCGCAAAAGCCGGAGAGAGGAAAAGAAGGAGAACGAAAGGGTGCTGGCAGATGCTAACCAAAGAGGGGGGGGGGGGGTGATCTCGTAGGGGAAATGGGGGGAAATGCGAAGGGAAGGTGAGGGGAGAAATTCGCCAAAGAAGGGGGGTAGGGTATAGGGCAGGGGAGAGGGAGGGAGGTTCATAAAGAGAAGGGGGAAGGGGGGGAAGGGAGCAAGGGAGACATTAGAAAGGTAAGCGAGAGGGGAGGCAACGCGCGGGAGGAAGGGAGGGGAGGAGAGAAGGGGGGGGGGGGTATGTATAGGAGGAGATTTTCTTTTCTTTTCCTTTTCCTTTTTTAAACTTTTTTATCATCAAATTTATCTCTGGTTTTCTTTCTTTATTTGGATTTTTTTATACGAACATTAGGTTAATTCCAATTTCGATTTTTATTTCTATTTTTGTCATTACATTTTTCATATGTTAATTATTTTCTTTTTCTTATTTTTCCCATTCCTCCTCTATTTATCTCTTTATTGCATTATCAACCTCCGTCTTTTAATACTTAATTCTATTTGATTATACTATTGGCGTTGTTATTATGTTACCGCAACAAGAACCATTACAGTAATTCGTAACATTATAACTGAGGTTTATTGTATCTTTCTGTCTCTCTCTTTCTTTCTCTGCTTCTATTTATTTCTGTTTATTCAGACACATCACTCCCACGTATCACATTACTAATTAATCTGATCGTTCATAACCGCCACTCATATTACCGTTTTTCTTGTCCTATCAATATCGCTTACCCCCCCCCCCCCCCATCCCAACCCCACCCCCATACCACTATACCCCACCCCATCCCCACTCCCACCCACCCCACTCACCCCCCCAACACCCCACCCCCGCGCGCTCTGACGTCATGCGCGTTTGTTGTCACGTGATGTCAGCAGCCTGAGACGTCGTCGATCTTGGTGGCACGCGGGGGCTTTGAGGCTGGTGACGTCACGCCCGTATTTCGTGACGTCGCCGCTGCATTCTGCGCCATAAACACGAGGGCGACCGACGCCAGCTTTCTGCCTGCCGCGCCGGGAGCCAAGCGGAGGTACAGGACATCAAAGGCTTGCATCGCGAGGCTCTTAATTCAGCGACGGAGGTTTTTTTTTGTGTGTGTGTGTCTCTCTCGTCGCTTCTTCTACTCTTCGTTTCTTCTACTTTGCCTTCTTCTGTTTCTTCTTCTTGTTTTCGTTTTTTTTGTTTGTTTGTTTTACTTTGCCGCCTTCTTCTGTTTCTTTTTCGCTTTTTTTGTGTGTTTTGTTTTGTGTTCTGTTTTTGTTGTTGTTTTTTCCTCCTTTTTCAAATTCTTTTACGTCTGCTTCTTTTCCTTCTTCTTTTTTCTATCTTCTGTAGTTTTTCTTCTTTTATTTCTTCTATTTTCCTCCTCCTGCTTTTCTTGCTCTTCCTCCACTTTCCTCTTCTTCTTTTCCTACTCTTTCATCTCTCTCTCTCTC